ATCCACTTTTGGGTATTCACATTTGGGTATCCACATTTATATATATATAAATGTGGATACCCAAATGTGAATACCCAAAAAGTGGATACACCAAAACAACTCAAATTCCTCAGCTTTTCAAAACATATATATATACATAAATGTCGATACCGAAATGTGGATACCCAAATGTGGATACCCAAATGTGGATACCCAAAAGTGGATACCCTTAATGTGGTTACATCAGATTGTAGATGCACTAAGAATGGATACTCGATAAACTATTGCTGCGTAGGGTATTGTGACGTAAAACTCTCGATACCCAGTGTAAAGGTATTATGACATCTATGCTCTACATCATAAAATGACCAACTCTTTATGTATATAAATATGTTAATATGATTTTTCTTAACACAAAACAGTGAATGGATTCTAACAACAATCCAAATGGACGATTGCCAAGGATAACTAAAGATTATTATGGACTACTAAGGATTAATTTGGATCACCAAGGGTCGGATGAAAATACATCTTGGTAATCCAAGTTTTAATCTCAAATGGCACGTGAAAGGGCTCTACGAACAGTCGGTTATATATATACTGACTTTGCTCAAAACAAAACGGTGAGTGGCATCTGACAGTAATCCAATTGGATGATTACCAAGGATTACTAAAGATTATTATGGATTACTAAGGATTGGTAAGGATTACCAAAGATCGGTAAAAGATTCTTTGGAAATCCAATCTATTACTTCGAATTTTTCCTGAAAAGATTACGTGAAGCAGCAGTTTATATTATTGACCATGTGGAAAAGATGTTGGTGTTTCTGATGTCCCTAGTAGAAGGAATCATAATCTGAATAAGGACTCTTCAAATTAAGTACTGCTCTCTCGTCGTCATCTCTTTTCCATCGCCTGCACGAAAATAAAAAATAATGATTCACTTCAATTTATTCAGCATTAGCAAAGCAATAGTATTTTAGATTTCCTCATTTGGCGTTTATACTGCTTAGAATAATTGAAGTTTTTAATAGAAAACAATCTACAAACTACCCATGTAAATATTTTTTGCCTCGAAACGCGTCTGAAACGCGTTCCATTTGCGTGCGAAACGTACAGAAGCGAACGCGTCTAAATGCGTCTCCAGTGAAACAAACGAAGCGTTTCGACGCGGCNGCACGAAAATAAAAAATAATGAATCACTTCAATTTATTCAGCATTAGCAAAGCAATAATATTTTAGATTTCCTCATTTGGCGTTTATACTGCTTAGAATAATTGAAGTTTTTAATAGAAAACAATCTACAAACTATTGATCGAGCTTTTTCGAAAGATCGATGCATATTGTCAGTACGTGGATGAAAAAAAAATCTACGAAAAACTCTGATCAAAATCAGCTATTTCATTAAAAATCAATTATCATGCTGCCAAAAGGACGTTAGTTCAATCTGAACAACTGATTTCTCAGTATGAAACAGGTATTTGCTTGGATATAAATCGTTTAAAATCTATTTAAATAAATTGGTCAGATTGATGTGAACAAAATTGAGTTTCCATAATCACTCACGGTTGATTCAACGCCAACAGTTGATTAGAACAAATTAGAGTTGATAAAAAATAAAAGTAAAATTGAGTTTTTTTTCGATCTGTTAATGTAAAATTGAGTGCCATTGCATAAATTTTTAATTGGTTTTGAAAATTTCTCTCTTGTCCAATTCACAGCATTTCAGATGAATGCTATTACTATCTTGATATTTTTTTAATATATTTTGACTACTTGCATTCAACAAACAATATCACCTTTCATTTAGATGTTCGCAAATTATTCGTTCAATTTATTTTCCTCACTAAAATTTGCTGAGCGACGATTTCAGAATCGAGTTTTTCGTTATTATTGCTCTCACCAAATACCAGCTACTTACGCAGATGTTAACAAAAGTTTTTGAGTGTTTCCGATAACCACGTAATAGTGACTCTCATTGGATCTGTAATATGAAGCGTGATAAAATGCGGTGAATGAAGCTTCTTGATACATATATAATCCACTACATTTTGATACCAGTATTCAAGGAAGTTTATGATGAGATTCCAAAAGAAAAGATCCTTTTACTGGATTTCGATTCTATATCGATCGAATTTTGTTTGCTCAACAAATCTTATCAAGATCCGATAAAAATCCTGGGAATTCTATCGGATCCGGCAGTCGGAGTTCTGTCACAAGGATTTTAACACAAATCCGATTTATGTTATTTGTTTCCGATAGGATCCGACGTACTAATGTTAATTGGATTTTGGGATCATCTCAAACGATTAATTCCACTCGATTCTTGGCACCAGATAATCTCGAATCACGTCAGATCTGGCGAGATCCGAACATCGGATCCGATAGGTTCTGGTTACATGAGTCCGGTCGGAATGGATGGAATCCGGTAATCGAATATGAAAGAAAAATGACGAATATGATCGGATTCTGGCGGAAACGTCCCGACCGGATCCGATGACCGGGTATGAACAGATTTAAAAGCCGTCCGACAAGATTCGACGGACCGCGATTCTCCTGGGAATAAATCTCCCAGTAGCAATCTGATAGATTAATATAATAGTGAATACTGAGACTGAGGCATAAAATGACCTTATCATTTCGATAAGGACACATAGGCTGTATATGCATTTGTTTTTTCTCGTTCTCATGGGTGTGGGCGAGACTCATCACATGGGAGTCCATGATATATCCAAGTGGTAATATCACTGAGACTTGTCATGCATTGTTCTTTATTTTTAAATAAGTAAATGGCAAACATGAGGTGCCGTTAGTCTTACAGAATCAGAAAGTTCAGTTGCTAGACAGACAATTTGTTTTGCTTGATTCACAACAAATAGACCACTCAACATCGCAGGTATAATTCCGATGAATATACCAACGGCATCCCCTGAATACCAAATGTTTTCTCCGGGTACTTTCAAATGTTCGTCGAGTAGTGGATAGTTTCCAACGGCTTCTACTGTTGGTCCTTTGAGTGTAAACTTTCGTCGATCTAAATTTGTATCTTTCATGATGTTTGCAAGAAAGGATTCAATGCCTCTAGCAATATGAGTACCGGCATCACCATATATGTCATACAGTTTATCTAATTCAGCAAGTGATAGCTCGAATGGACGTATATCCTTGATTTTTTCTAAATATTGCTGAGCATCATCACTCTTAAAACACGCATCGAAACCGAAATTACTTTCTGATGTTGCTAGGCAATCAGAACAACCGTAATAGGCAGTTATTCCGTCTTGTTCGAACCATACACATTCACCGTTACGACACCAGAAAAATGTTCGATATTCCACATTGGCATTGTTGGTTGGGATAACCTTCAAATTTGCTTCTGTTACATTGGAAAATAAACTATCGTCTGCTGGGCCACAGATACGTACTCCAACATCTAATTGTTTGAAAATGTGTTTAATCACCGGAAACGTTGAAGAAACTATAGGGAAAAATCGACCACCAGTGAGAATAAGGTTACTACAACGAAATTTTATATCTTCACCGTTTTTCTTACAGTGTAAAATATAAGTATTATCTGCTGTAGATTCAATCTGATACAGTTTAGTGCCCAGTGATAGTTGGTTCGGTTTGATGATATCTAGAATTGACGCAAAGAGAGACGTACGCTGTTCGAGTATTAAATGGAAAGCGGATTGACCCTTTTGGTTTTGATTTTCAGCATTCATAGTACTTTGTTCGAATGGAAAAGCTGGTATGTTTACCATGTCTTGAAATATTTTTCTTAATTGATTGTAGCTTATTCTCAAGCATTCTTGATCAAGCATCCACAGTCTATAGCAGGCTGGATAGAACATTAGATGACCATCAGAGAAGAGTCCAGCTCCGCCTACACCTCCAGTATGAGTTCTATCGTTGGCTTGTACACGTATTAATAGGTTATCACCGCTATCAATCAACAAGTATTTATTTTCATGATGCATATGCAGCCCGTAACTAGCTGCCAAACCCGCAGGTCCAGCTCCTACGATCACGTAATTAAAAGTCGTCATTGTAAAATATGTTTTCACCTATGAAGACACTACACAAATAATTCATTAAGTTAAATCATATCAAATCACTGGAAATGGTGGATCTTTCATTTTCCAAGAAGCTTTTATTAGAGATAACCCAGTATTTTACAATAATAAAAATACAATTATTTCATTCGACTTTTCTCTAATATTTAAACATGAAATTTTGATTAATTTTCTTTTAATCACAGAGAGGGATCAGTAATCACTTTCGAAATGAAAACGAATTAATGGTGCATTATTCTTGAAAAGATGAATGGTTTAACAACGATATGTTCTCTCAATTAAAAGACCATGAATCTTATTCTATCTTTCAAAACAAAATGTCTTGACAAAATTGTTAATGTTCTGCATTAAAGTACTTACTCAAGCAATAAAAAACAACGTGCAGCAGAGAGAAATACTCATGCGTCGCAATAAAGAAAACGTGCGACAGGAATAAACGAATCCTTCAGTTACATTGATTTTGCATTATTTTCTACTATCTACAAAAGGAGAACAAGAAAAAGAGAAGAAGAAAGAGAAATATTTTCCCTTTATTGACTCATCGTTAGAAAGAAAATATAGAGCAGAATTTAAACGATGAAAGACGAGACGCACCAGCACTGAAAACAGGTGCAAACTATTGTTAAGGAATGAAATTAACGAGAAAAACAGAATTGAGGATGACGATAATTTAAACAGGATTAGAATGAATGTGAGATTCTCATTTCGACTCAGGAACTCGATGCGGGTGTCAAGTATGGCTGTTGGTGTTTGCCTTCGTTTCACCCATACATCCACAACACACGCTCTAGTCCATCTTTTTACTACAGGTAAACCGTTAGGGTATGCGTTTTTAAGAGCACTTCTTTCTTTGTGCTCTGAATGTATAAAAAAAAACCACAAGGTGTAAATTTGACAATACGTGAAGAAAATACAAAAATTTGAATATTATAAAAGTCCAGGGATTTTATAGAATACTACAAAGAAATACCAAGAAAATCAGAGTTCTATCTTAATTAAAATGATCATAAGTGACTCTTCATTAGATAGTCATTAAAATTTTAGTGAAAGTTCAACGATGGTCTTACAAAGCCCGAAAAGTCGCTGTAACTGCTTGCCTCTAATAGACTGCAACAGCTATGAATATTGCTCAATACTAAATTTCACCACTTCATGACTCCATTGATTCGCAGCATAGAGATTACCAAATCTATCGAAAGATAAGCTAATAGGATGGAACAACCCAGTAGATTCAATCCGACATTAGGGTCTGATAAGATCCGATCCGATAGACTTCCGGTAGGATTCCATCGGATTTCATTAGAAGCCTATAGTGGCATCATCGGAACCCTGGTTCAGGGTCTACAGTCGGAGCCTTAGCGCCGGAATCGGACGGAATCTTACTTCACGCATCCGATGGGAAACAGATATCATGAACTTCTCGTGTCCGAGAGTGGGAAATCGATGAGGATCCTATAATTTCTCATATACGAACTCAGTAGGATCCCGTGGGTCGGATTCTTACGAAATTTCTATGAGAACCTATCAGATATCACCATGTTCTTATGAGACACAACATGTTCCAACAGTAATAATCCCACGAGATTTCCTACACTTGTTTCCTATCGGATCGCCTGAATTCCGATAGGGTCTCATAGGATCCGATGAAAAATAGTATAATATACTCTAGTGTAGATTATTCGCCGGTGCCATGGTAGTCCACACAATACTGAAAGAATAAGAAATTAAAAAATAAATTGCAACAGCTAATTTGAACAATAGGCCCAAAGGATTACTATACAATATAACACACAATAAAGAAAATGAGTAACAAATACAATTAAAACAAATTCAGCAAAACCGACGAAATCTAAAATGTTTTTCCATGTATCCACTTGAATTACGTGTCTAACGGTTTTTGAAGACAAGCATAAAAACGTTTCCAAACGACCCACGCAACCTCGATAGATATCCCACCAAAGCCATTACTCCTTCATGTCAGGTAAAAGCCCATTTAAGGTTTTATAAAAACCGTAAAAGATTATTCCCAACGGCACACCGGGGAAATTATCTACTTCTTTAGAAGTCTATACGATTGTGCATGCCACCTCTTTGTTTAACCGCTTCATTTCCAACTAGCAACATCGCGAGTCAGCACTTACGCGGATCTGCTCGCCATTCAAAACAGCCGCAATACAGCAATTCACATAAACCGCCTTATAACTGCTTCTCAATCTCACCGTTTTTTGAAGCTTACTTGGGAAATCAGCATTGTTTCAGTCTTAGTTAAAATTTATAGTTGGTAGAAACTAAGTTTTGCTAAGTGCTGATCAGCACTGAAATAGTTGAAATCAGCGCGTTTTTTTAACTGAAACAGTTGAAATCAGCGCGTTTTTTTAACCGTAGTTGCATTGCTCAGGTAGTGGTATCAAGCTTTTTCTGACTGATGCTCTTGTTTTCGAAAACGAAGTGTATCTGAGTGATTTTTTTAATTGAAATTTATTTATGAGAAATGCAATAGTGAACTCTCTTGATGCATTGTTTCTTACTTCTGAATATTTTGAGAGGCATTGTTTTCGCTGATAGTTTGTATAGTTTCTGTGGAATTGCTAGTGACATTGTATATTTAGGAATAATTTAGGAGAAATCTTATCAGTTGAATGATGTTATGGTCGAAAAGTGACTTTTGAGATGAGTATAGAGGAGTGTAGCCTTTCGCAAAGAGACTGATCGGATCCGACTGGAAACTTATTTATATCATAGTGCCGGAAGTCGGGTGTGTGAGTGGGAGTAGATTAAGAGAATGCGAAACCACACCCACACCTGCCCTGTGCCAAAATTTTATTTAATTAGCGTACATAAGTGTAGGGTTTTTCATCTTTCATGTCTCCAATGGGGAGGAGGGGGTGAAGTACCGGAGAGCTGCAAAAACCTTGCACTTCAACTTATATTCAGTATTTTTCTCGAAAATATATGTGAGTCTCACAAAAACTCGCGACGGATTACATAAATGCTTTCCTTCGCATCGCATTAATTAACTTAATCCATGAGCAAGAAATAGCAGCAATAGTAGAATCGGCTAGCCGGGGCTGGCGTAGTGATTCTATGCATCTGATTATTAATCAGACATGAAAAGGTTCGATTCCTTCCCCCGGCACATTGTCTTCGGTGTCAAGATATACGGTATCGGAAGAATAAACAAAGGAAGAATAGTAGTGCATGCCGATTTCATCATCACTGCCTCGTTTTCGTTGTCGCTTCCTTGCCATCCTTTCTCTGTTTGTTATCTTAGTCTTGTCTGTTGACTCCTGTTTTCATAAGCGCCCACCAAACATATACAAAAAGCCATATAAATATAAATGAATACCGAGAATAAATATAGTGCATAAACCAAAAACAAAGAATAGTAGAATCTGCTGACACTTAATATGATTCCGAAAAAGTAAGTATTCGACGATCAAGTTTACCATTAAGATAAGCGTCTGAATCAAGTCAAATTTTAAAGTAGTTTCTAGAGTATAATTTATAAAATTCAGTATTTTGATGATAGAAGTTTTCGAAAAAATCGTTTCATGGCAGCTATTTTATATAAAAGAATTCAGGAAATCAGTAGGACAATAAAAGAATAGTTGCATGGTTGTTATCCAGCCGTCTATCCGCTCCCTTTACCTACAAAATAAAGAAAGAATTGAAGAGAAAAAAATCAGTATTCCTTTGTTTACAAATAATTACCACATGCACAGCAATTTTGTTGTGCTGCCGCTGAATCGATACCGGAAGTGGCGACTACACTCGTTCCATTACAAAAGCCATAATCAATGTAAGTTTCGCATGTATGACCAGTACCTTCTTCAAAATATCCAGCTAAGTCGGAGCATGCTGTAAAAGCAAAAAGAAAACACTTTTAGTGTTTGATTCATATCAGGAAGAAAGTTTCTTGAAATATTCCAGTTATAATTAAAAAAGATCTTACTCACTGTCAAGACTACTGCTATAGAAAGATGCTTTTATACTGCACTCGAGATGTGCCTCTTTCAAGGATTCTCCACAAAAAATAAATAGAACAATGGTAGGCGTGTAGATAGCAGAGGTCCAAACAAGCCTACTTTCTCTGGATACAAATCTATTACTAGTGAATGATTGTGTTGAGTCAAACTGATGAAATATCATTTCTCATCATCCCAGGTCGAACATTACGGTCCTGGAAACGGCCGGTTCTGTGGTATTCCGGAGATTTCATGGAAGCAATATTCCGGTGAAAGGATCGGGTGACCGGATTTATCCGGTGCGGGTCGGAATCGGCAGGAACCGGTCAAGACTGACAGCCGGATACGGTTTCCGGATTCCTGCATCGAATTCTGGACAATTCCCGGTGGGTTCCGGTCGGAAACAGCGAGTTTCTTGGAGGTTTTCGCCGAAATTCACGGAATACTGCTTCGGGAATCATTGTCCAGGGATGCACATAAAAAATCCTCCGTATTACAATTTTATACTTAGATTTCTTGCTTAATGAATGAAGTTTTTTATTGAAAATTTGGAAATAATGATAAACAGGTGGCCTGCCTACTTTAAGCAGCCCATCTGGCCTGTTTGGATCTCTGGTAGATAGTATGTGTGAATTGTATTTCGTAGGATTATGAGTATGATTTAGGAGAAGATATCGAGATTAAATCATCGGTAAAACTGCTTAAAATATTATACGTACATCCTATCATGAATTTTGCGCGAGCTTAAGTGTGAGTAGTCTGTACAGAGCAGTTACGGTGATATAGCCAATACATAACTAAGGTAAATATAGAATTATAATTGCTTATTAAATGGATACTAGGCGATGGTTTTGATATATCAAGAGAGATGTCACACCATTTTCAGACTATTGACTCGTGTGAGTGGAATAAAAGCTTTTGAAAATAGTAAATTTGTTAATAACATGTGACGAATTTGGGAAGATCATTCTATCGAAATGGAAAATTTTCTCATTGAAAACTTTGCTGTCTCGGTCAAGTGTTTTACAACAAAAGAACAGTTTAAACCACAAATAAAAATATTTCTAATTTGCAATGTATATTCTCTTTTCCTTACCAGTAGTAGTGCTAGTAGTTGGCACTGTTGTTGTTGTCGTTGTCGTTGTCGGTGTTGTTTATTAATTACATACCCCCGTCAATGTGGTCATAGTTCTGCGTGTAAAGCGAACTTTCTAGATACTAGTTGTGGTTGTTGTTGTCTTTGTTGTTGTTGTCGTTGTCGTTTTTGTTGTTGTTGTTGTTGTTGTTGTTGTTGTTGTCTCTTAATATAAAAAGGACATGAAAGTATGATTTTTCTCATAGTTTGCTCCATACTTTTCTTCTCAACTTCTACGCGACATATTTGTAATGGCACTGAAATCCTGCCTATTCCATGCTGACATTCCAAAATTGGAGAAAAAACTGTCATAGTTTCCAGGAGGTGTCTTATAGTATCTAGAAAGTTCGCTTTACACGCAGAACTATGACCACATTGACGGGGGTATGTAATTAATAAACGAATTTGTACTTTAGCACCTCCCGATGCAGTTTCAGCTGCACAAGAGGCTCTAAACATAAAAAATCATATATAGTAAACTAGAAAGAGAATGCATCTGAAAAACAAATATACAGGCGACGCCGACGATTAGAAGATTGTGTTGCGCTTGTGGTATTCATCAGCGCTGTTATAACAGAGATAGTATTTTTTTTAACCTTCAAGGCAGTGGTAATCTAAAAAATATAAGAGGAAAAGAAGGAATACCTAGTTGATTTAAATTATACTTCTGAGCCAAGTTCTTGTATGTTCGTTATGGGAATGTACGATAAATCCGTGATTGGCAGTTCGTAGCTGGTCGCATACTCCGTGCCAATCACATCACCTTATACGAATAATAGAGTTCGTGAGTTGTGTTCAACTAGAAAAGGGCTTACTTTTTGTCGAATCATACACTGTGTTCACTGGCGGATCCGGTAAATAGAGAGGAATTAAACTGATAATGACCAATACGGCTATAGAGACCAATACACAAGTTATGAAACCAATAGCTATGAAATAGCTCCACGCAGCATACCTACAAATAACAACAAGCAGGCAATAGCGCTTGTAAAAAGTTTTATGTTCCTAAATAGACTACTAACTTCATATTCGAATGTGGGACGAAGAAATCGAAGGTGCTACTTATGAAGCTCCTAAGTGATTTTGTTCTCTATGGTCTTTTTACTGTTGGAAAAAGTTGAAAGAAACTATTTTTACATAGATTCATTCTTTTATTCAGATTTGAAAATCTTCGAATTGTTTGGAATTGTTGCTTTTTCTGCTTGAGAGTAAAAACTACAGCATGCATTGAGGCGTAAATTAGGTTTGAACTGAACTTACATTGGGAAGAATCTACGTAGTTCAGAGCGAAACAATTAAAACGCGCAGGCAATTTACAAACTTTCTACCATTCTGGAAAACTCTGGACGAGTGGCAATAGTTACGAGGAAAGTGCAGATCGTGTTGTCGATACTAAATCGATTCATGCGTGTTCTATTACGTGATAGAATTCAGGTTGAAATCATTCCTAATTTAACTTTCTCTCTGATGAAATGATTATGTTTTTTTCTAATTCTCAGCATCATTGCAGTTATATTGTTTCTCAATACATACATGATTATGAATACTTATAGTACTGGGGATGTGTACAAGAAGACTACTAGGCCTGTCTACTAGTTTCCTTAGTAGGAAAATATTATCTCGTACGTAGAATTTCTGTTCAGAAAACAGATCCGTTCAAAATTTTCTCGAAGAAAAGTCAGACTGCCTTTTGCCTTTTTAATACTGGTAACTATCAGTTCTTATTAAATCTAGAATAATTTTAAAGAGCAGGGAAATTATTAGAAGTAGATATAGAGCAAATGAATATTTTTTATTTGAAACAATATATAAATAATGAGAATACATCCTATTCCGCCATGTTGAACATTCCGGAACCAGTTTGGTTCACGGAACCAATTTCATCTAATTCCAGCAATTCAGTTTATCGCTTCCAACTCAATTCCGTGTAATTCCGGGAATCGGACAATGTTCAGGTTTGACTTAGTTCCGGAATTGGCGGAACTGGTTCCGGAATGTTCAACATAGCGGAATAGGATGCCTGCTCTAAATAATATAGAACACAAGAAAATTTTCTATCTTTTCGGTTCTTTTAAAAATAACAGCTGTGACAGATATATAGTGGATAGAACATTGTAATTCGAATAAATGAATCGATACAAATACCAAGACGAATAGCATTATTATCATGTTCGAAAAAGATGCAATACAAAACAATATTAAGGAGTCATTCCAGTGTTTCATCGACTATGTACTGATGATAAACATGATTTTTAAGCGATTGAAAATTTTCGAATATTTTACAGAAATTATTATATATTTACTTTCAAATAAAACAAGTCCGTTTTTTATATGTACTTCCTACAGTATGTCTTTCATAGCATGTATTGAATTAAAATTTCACTGAATTATTAAATACTTTCTTATTGTTAGAATATGGGTACGAAAAGAATTAATGCTAAATAATATGATTTTTTATAATTCACTATACTTTGAAAAGAATTTCCGTTGGATATGACTAAATTGAAAGTCGAGCGTTTTTCTTACAGGTTTTCTATCAATAAACTTGAGTTATCTTTTGATAAGCTCTGTGAACGAATGCTTGTAAGAATAAAGTAAGAGATATGTTTTTGCCGCCGTAAGAATGTTCAGCATATTGGATTATAGTCAAAATTCTTTGAAACAGTGTCGTGCTATACGTACGTATTTTTTTGGTGATTACTAGAAGTGCGCTGATCCTTCCTATTGAGATAAGAGTGCAGCATGATTCGTGGAAATTAAAAAATCTAGAAAAAAAAACATCAAATGACGATAAATTGAATTTTACTCATTCGCATTATAATGGAAAGGATAAAAAATTAAGTATGGTACTAAAGCTATTTGATAAGGGGTACAATATGGATAATGCCTCTTCGATTTGATATCCAAATAATTAGGATTTGCGCTTCAAAGTACTTATGATAGAAGCCGTCTAAATGAGTATACGCATATTAGCAGTAAATTCGTATGCTTATGTGACCCTTTCCCACCAATCAATTTATAGATCTGACGATTAACAAATAGTAAATAACCTTAAACAAATTTGCACGCACACACCACCAATTGATCGAAAACCCCAGTGGGGCCAAAAAAAACTATTCTATCAATTATAATTTATAATTAGAGATAAAAAAAAAACACTGTTATTATATGAGGATGTGTCTATTGTATGATCAAAAAAATAGAAACCAGAAAAGCCATAAAAAAGATAACACAATTTCAAGCCTGATAGGTTTGAAATATTGGTATCAGTTAAGTTCTCAACTAATTTTTCAGGAAATCGGTGATATATAAAACTACTTGTCTTAAACGGGCCAAGTGCTCCGAATGTGAGAAATAACCAGATCGGTGTGGGTGTGGACCAGTATCTTTTATCCAACAATATACATCCATACCCTAAAACTGAACGCTTCAAATCTTGCAGGTATCATGCAAACGTCTATGATAAAATAATAATGAATCGCTTTGAAGACAATATCCAAAATGAATTATTCATCAAAGCTCACTGGAATAGTATCTATTTACTGAAAAGTTTCAAAAGCACTTGTTTTCCGTACAGATTCATATATAGTTTTCGATGGGGTCACACTATTTCGAATCATAAAAGAATTTGACTACAAATGGCTTTTTTCTCCGTTGAAAATCCCAGCATGCATTGATAATTTTTGTTATAAATTCTTCACGAGAAAAATTACTGTAGATTAATCAGTATCTCCGATTCATGTCAAACTGAGCTTTGAAAACTTTTTGTTAGCAAGAAAATAATTACTATAACACGAAAGTGATATCTTAAAAGTTTAGTGATACTAAAAGGGATGTAAAAACCCACTGAAAATAGATAGTGAAGAGTGACTTCTGGAAAGAATGCAATGTGAAAATACTTACTTTTGCTGCTTGTATTTGTGGGAACACTAAAAAAAATCCACAGAATAATAAACGGAAAAAACGTTTGTGATGGAGTGTTTAACAAAAAAAGGGTTTATGAAAGTTCAACGTATCATAAACCCTTTTCCCCCTATGTGACGGAGATAATAAACGGTTTTTAGGTTTATGATTTGGAAAAAGAGTTTATCAGATATTTTAAAAACGTAAAAAAGGGTATGTATCGCGTTGCACTTACATAAACCTGTTTTTTTTTTACAGTGAATTCGTAAGTGCCGAAGATAAATATAGCAATGCAAGCAATCGACGCTGTTCTATACGAAAAATAAACACTTAAATTTATTTTAATGGATATCATTAATAAGTTTGGCTTGTGTGCATTCATCCATGTATACTAAATACCTGTTTGTCATGCGTAGGTGACGTATCTTAATTTTTTCTCAAAAACAAAGCTATTGCGCACTCAAAAAAAGTGAGTACACTAGATTCCGTCAGTGTCCACACGGCCGTTAACACGATAACCTATGAAAGCCTCATCCAATTGTCATGAAATTTTGTACACATAATGATCTCATTAATATCCCAGTCGAGTCCGAAGATGAGAAGGATCCGTCAAGAAATGGCTGAGTTATCGAAAAAATTGTCAGTATTGGCTAGACCATCCCTGAGGCGGGGGTGGGGGGGGGTACNCCCCCCCACAGGGTTTTTTTTCTTAGGATTATTCACAACATATATAAATCGACTCAGTTTTTGCAGTACACACAACAATCGGATGCGAATCCGATGGTTCCTCGTTTATTTTTATTCTGCTTTTTTTATCTCTTATTAGCTGGCGCGCTTAAAAAACAAAAAATGATTGTAAATAGAAGATTAGAAAAAATGTACTTTTCGCTATTACTGTAATTTTGTTTTCATCGTTGTACAGTATCGAAGAAATATTAGCATCTTGCAATCACATAATAGAGGGGAGTAGTAGATTCAATATTTTTGTCGAAATGGTTTAATTCATCTATTTAGTGACTTCAGCAATATTGTGAGTCAGATATAACTCCATGAACTTGATAGAATGAGGAACTCAGCCTTTCGACAACAAATAATCGAATAATATGGAACCTAAAAGTATGCTTTTTATTATAAAGCATCATGACCCTTTTAATTTTTTAATTCATTTGTTTAGAATAAGAATGAAAGTTATCACTTAAAGAAATAAAAATGATATAATCACAGTCATATAAGAGTGTGTACCACTACTTTGTGCTAAATGTATTACTCTGATGAATACTTGATATTTATCCTCTTTTACAACTTCTTCGAATGTTTAGTATAATAATATATTTCCCATCAAAAAGAGTCTATATTTGTTTTTTTTGCAAGATTTTATAAAGAGCATTTATTAGAGAATCCCTTTTCGATGTTCTTTTTATTAAGAATCCAAAAGATAACTGAACTGTGAGAAGATAGGATATTATACAAGAGAGAATAAAATATCAAGTAATGTGACTCGAATAAACATATATTGTGAAGAAAGCAGTGAACCAAGCAATGTAAACATATGATTGCACCATATCTACCCACCGAGAAAAAATTGTGCAGGCGTACATTATTAAAAAGAGAAAAAAACAAGAAGAAGAAAAAATATGCAAAATAAACATAAAAATGTGAATAAGATGAAACGGAGCAATAAATCAATTAAAAAAATAAAGAAAACAATATTCAAGTGCGACTAACGAACAACTTTGTCAGGGATACAGAAATATTCAATCGATTTATCGCCTGATAAAAATTACGAGAAGGACGATTGGTTATACGTATAACGACTGATAAACTTTAACGTATGAAGAAGAAACGTATGAATGCTTAATGAAGAAGAAAAAGCGCCGATAAAAAATCCAAGTTATGCTCGTCGCGAACGAATGAGAATGAATATTGATGAAACGTGCAAGCACAAATCCTTGAGAAAAAAAATCGGGAAGAATGTCGACCAAGGGGAAACAAAATGATTTCTAGATTTTTTGATTTCTAGAGATTTCCATGATTTCTAATGATTTCTAATGATTTCTTGCGATTTTTGATGATTTTTGATGATTTCTACGATTTCTTGTGATTTCTAGTTCTTCTGGACATTCTTATTTTTGTGTTTATAGTTTCGAGTTACCTTTTTTCTCCACTGATATCAGTAGAATTACGGATACAGATTATAGATACGCGACTTTCAGTAACTAAAGGAGGGAGGCGAATAAAGCCATTTTCTCGCCCCCAATATTTTTGCATAAAACTCATTTATTCGGAATCAGCATCAAATTCTGATCAAAAAAAGATATTTTAATTTTTTGGAAAATGAATTTTTTGGTTTTTTGAAAATTTTCGCCCCTGGGACCCTTCAGGAACGTTGAAATGTTTTTTCTTCATATTTCTATGAAACATACACCATTCAATTCAGAATGTGATGCTGATTCCGAATATTTCGTCAAAAATGGATGAAAATGAATCTTGATCGAAAAAATGTGAATTTATGTACAGGTGGCGCTAATTCCCATGTCGCCTCTTTTTTATCAACTGTGTCGCAATTACGCGCAGAGCCAATTCTGCTGCGTCGCAGTTACGCGTAACTATGGCGCATTGATTGCAGCAAAGATTTCTATAAGAAACTACGCTTACTGGGACACAGATCAACGTAACTGCGTCCTAGTGATCGCATCCTACGATCCGTTGTAGGTATAAATGACCAATTATAAATTATTCCTCCTTATTTGTAATTGGCTACATTCAAACAATAAAACTTAGTCACAAAAAATCAGTATTAATAGCAGTGTTCGTCACATTTTCGTTCATAAGTCATTCTACTATAAGCAGTAGAATGCATATTTTTTATTCCTTTTAAAAATTTCTAGATTAAAATGTTTTCAGTTCAATTTATTTTAATTAATTTTTTTTCTTTTATATTAAATTATTTCAAATTTTTCTAACTAATTTTTTTTTCTGTTGTATATTAAATTATTAAAAATGTTTCTAGATGTTAATTTTTTTTTGTTTTTCTAGATATTTATTTTTTTTGTTTTTCTAGATATTTATTTTTCACTTTCCTTAGGTTTTAAAATAAGCATTTTTTTTAAATTTTAATTTAGTAGATTTTTAAATTTTTTTAAGTTTCAATTTTTCAATTATTTTTATTGCCACAACTTCTAATGTAAAAATTGTTTTTTATTTTTTATAAAAATTTTAATTTTACACTGTTAAATTTTTTATTTTGTACGCAAAAATTTTTTAAACAATAAAAATAATAAAATAAAAACATAATCTATGTTATCTTTTGTACCAATTGCGATGCCACTATGACCTATAATTGCAAAAAACTGACGAAATTATGCGTAACTGTAATGTTTTCACTGTAACTACGCGTGACTGCGATTTTTTCATCGCAGTTACGGCGTAACTGCGTCACAGTTTCATCGTAATGAAACACATGGGTTACCTTCAATTGAATTTGTGTCGTTTTGGTGCTCTATGTTAGGCTTAGAAACATTGAATAACAGCTAGATATACTCAAATCATTCAAAATCCCACAATATTGCATTTAAAATACTCCAAATGTTGAGTTTCATCGTAAAAAAAGTGCACTGAGATAAAAAAAATCAATGAAAAATCATGTGTTTTTTATTGATTAGTCTCTATTGGCCCTAAAGAATGAGATAACAATCTGAAAATTATATCACATTCACAGTTTTGAATTCTCTATCGAATGAGTCTATTTCAATTAGAAAAAAATACATTTTTTCTGCTATCTTATTTTACCCATCTAGATCCTCTAGGAAAATCTCTGTCGATTTTTTTTTGACTGAAATCGTTACTCGAGTGTCTTAGGATATCACGCATTGTGTGATATGCGTTGTTTTCTTTTAATTGAGATTTTGAGTAGGATCGTTAGCCGTGGCGGAATACGCCACGTTTATCTTTCTCACCACGAAGAGGTGATCCTAGATGGAGAAAGGCTTCTCAATTTTCAAATATAATCGAGAACAAAAAGGTGTTATGTGACTATGGATATTTTTCAGACGGGCGAGAATGCATAATTTCGTGAAACTTTGATTTATGGACTGTTGGCCACCCTCCAGTCGAATGACAAAAGAGCGTTGCGACCTTTTCGCCACTAGAAGGCCGCCCAAGGAGAAAAGGATTTCAATTGTTTTTGGATCTTACACTATTCTCGCTGTCTAATTAAGCTGAAAAGCAAACTATCAAGAAGCGGAAATGTGTAAAAATTTTTCATTTTTTAAGAATTTTTTTCATCCAATATCCTATTATGTACAACCAACGTGTCTGACTAAATTCAATAGCCAAATTGTGTTTTATGAGTTTCTTCTTCATTAAAAAACGGTAACTAAATCTAAAGAAATTTCTTCATAGGCTAAATAAATGTTTTTTCATGAACAAAAATAAAGGAAATCATTTTCGTGGAAATAAATATTTTTCAAGAACTTTTTAATTAATTTTTTCTTTTCAACTTTGATGCTAAGTTTTAAACTGGTCGCTCAGACTTGAATGAGAGAGATAGCTACAGTCAGCGTTATTTCATAATCTTTTTTTTCGTAGCAACAAGTTTCTGAAAGAATCTTGTAATGCTCACTTTCCTGGTAACAGTTGAAATACTGTAAAGCACAACCAAACTTATGTAACATACCTAGTCTTCATGCTAATGAATATAATATTGCATCATCATCTTCTTCATCAGACGATAGATCCGATACCTCTGCAGCCTCTTCAAATAGCTTCATGTAGGATGATGATCGGTGATTCAAGTATTTATGCTTGGTGTGTCGAGCAATTCCTAAATACCATATAATACTTGCAATGTGACTACAACAGCCAATGTTCCGGTTCTCATTTCGACAGGCACAACAAGCAGCTATCACAGTTTGATCATTGTATTGAATAAGAACGTTGTAATCCTTTCGATTCGAATGTTTACTTTGCAGGTTGGCTCGAAGTAAGTTTTGTTGTTGCTTACATACATGAATCTCATATTGACCATCTTCCGAAATATGTTCTAAATTATAACTACGAGCCTGTTTCAGCTGGAAGACACCTAATGTAAAATATTTTAGATCGGCTTCAGTTAGTTTTGGAAAATCTGTAATACAATCATCAGCATTAATTTTTTTCCAATGTTTGGACTTATTCCGTTCTTTGTCGTTCAATTTTTTCCTCTAATTCATCTTGTTTGTTTCGTTTTTCTAAAAATGCCTTCGATAAATAATCCTCATTTGACGTATCATTGATGAATGTTGGACGATAAGCATTAATTATTGCACATACGATCGAAAAATAACCGTGAACGTAAAGAAGAGATGAGTTTTGCACGACATGTTCGAAAAATTTAAATGTTTTAATACGTCCATTTACAGACTCTACCACCCAACGCAGGGCAGTAACGAATCGGTTGTTGTTAGCTTCACTAGTACTAAATTGCTTCTTCGATTTCGGTAGAAACAAAGGCAAAAATGTTGTATAACCAAAGGAATTAACAAGATCCAAGCAATCACGAAACCCTCTGTCGACGATGATTATGTCTTTTTCGACGAGCCAATCTTGAACTTCTTCTTTATTATTTAATAAAATATGTTTAATTATCGCTGCATCATTGCTGTACCAATCTGAAAGATATGGTCCAATTGCTGAAATAATGTATCCATCTGTGGCACAGATAATCATTGGCTTGAGCAGAGGACGATTCTTGTGCAGGCTAAAAATTCGACGTTGTAATACATTGTTGGCACTTTTTTGGCAGTAGATATAAGTTCAATCGAGAATCAATATTGCCACATCCTCCCCGTTTGCTAATAAGTTTTTTGCCAATGGTCGGGTGTGATTGTTGATAATATCGTTTCAAGATTTATGCTGAAATCCAAGATGTTGTGGTACAAAGAACTTCAATAATGCTTTATGAGCTCTATCATTGATTTGTGCTACTAAGCGGCCAGAAGAAAAAGAGAAAAGGGTTTTCAAAACTTTATTGCTTACTCCCAAACGTAGTTTTGTTAACAAACAGCCAATAGCCATTTCAATCGAACGATTATTGGTATTGTGCATAGTAACTTGTGTGCATAAATCACGAAATTGATCTTGCTCTATACCGATGAGTATTTTGTAATCTTCATTCGAGTATTTGAATGGATCATCGAAGCTTAGCGGAGGTATAAATCTTACCAAACTTTGTGAAGTTCTCTTCAATTCTATTTGAATTTCTTTAATCATCGTGGACAACAGTTCATCGGTCACTGAACTCGTTTCAGGATAATCCCGATTTAATGCATCAATAGCAGACGATTTCAAATAATGACTTTCTAAATGGCTTCGACAACAATGCGAATTGTAACGCAAATAAATCAAATAGAACTTGAATGTGTTCATTCTTACATCGTCAGATAATGCAATCACTCTTTGAGTAGAAAATTTGGCATTGCATATGCAGTAGTACTTGTTAGAATATGGTGGTATTGTTATTGGAACACTAAACAGATTCTTAGCTATTAAAGTATAATCGCTACTTACATCTCGTGAATCTGTCCTTTCTGTTTGAGTTGAGACATCAACTTTTGCTTCGCTTCTTGTAGTATCGACTGCATTTTCATAATCCATAGGCTCTACTGTGTCATGAGAAGCCATTCGAGTGTCGTTGGCGGTTTTCAAAGTTTTAGAATGTCTTGTGTAACATGCTGCGCAAATCATAATATCATCTGAAAGCCGCTTTTGAAATAATGAATAGTAGAGATCTACAATGAAATTGAACAGATTCGGAGAGTTTTTCAATGGAAGTCGTCGCTTATTATTATATAACTTGTCACATAAATCATATCGATCAGTTTCAAACGATATCGCACGAATTTCGCTCGTATTTGGTGTAAAAGCTAGAGAATATTAATTCGAAAACTAATTTACCATCGTAATCGCAGCAACTAACACAATACATTACTTTAGCGTCTGAATATCAAAGATTGACTGATAATTTGACCGTTATTAGGTAAAATAATTGATAAGCTTGTAAACAGTACCACTATATTAATCAATGAGAGCAGTCCGATGTATCGCAGAACGCGTATGAAGGAACAGCCAGTGCGATTTCAGTCAAAAAAAATCGACAAGGATTTTCCTCGAGGATCTAGATGGGTAAAATAAGATAGCAAAAAAAATGTATTTTTTTCTAATTGAAATAGACTCATTCGATAGAGAATTCAAAACTGTGTATGTGATATAATTTTCAGATTGTCATCTCATTCTTTAGGGCCAATAGAGACAAATCAATAAAAAACACATGATTTTCATTGATTTTTTTTATCTCAGTGCACTTTTTTTACAATGAAACTCAACATTTGGAGTATTTTAAATGCAATATTGTGGGATTTTGAATGATTTGAGTATATCTAGCTGTTATTCAATGTTTCTAAGCCTAACATAGAGCACCAAAACGACATAAATTCAATTGAAGGTAATTAGCGCCACCTGTACATAAATTCAAATTTCGATCAAGACCCATTTACATCCATTTTCGACGAAATATTCGGAATCAGCATCAAATTCTGAATCGAATGGTGTATCTTTCATAGAAATATGAAGAAAAAACATTTCAACGTTCCTGAAGGGTACAGGGGCGAAAATTTTCAAAAAAAACAAAAAATTCATTTTCCAGAAAATTAAAATATCTTTTTTTGATCAGAATTTAATGCTGATTCCGAATAAATGAGTTCTATGCAAAAATATTGGGGGCGAGAAAATGGCTTTATTCGCATCCCTCCTTTAGTTATAATGCAGAAAATTTTTTACATTATGGTTAGGGGTGGCACTTTAACTTTAAAAAACTTTAA